GGGCAAATAGGTTTAGAATTTGCTCCAGAAGCCTCTCCTCCTTCACCGTCTTTCTTATTTGGGCCTGTCGAGTTTGGCGATGGCAAGTACAATGAGCCCTGTGTTTTTTTTAAACTCTGCTCTTGTTCCTGCCTATATTTATGTACAAAATTTGTTAAATCTTGATCCGCGTCCATCAAATCATCATCGCAGACATCGTCGTCGGCATCGGGACTCCAATGAAACGGCACATGCCGGCGTCCACTATTGCCTCCACTTCCAGAATTACCACTACCACTAGCCATTGTTTAGATTATTTTTTCTCTATTAGTTTTTTTTTTTTTTTTACAATTGCGTATATAATTTTCTTTGTTTAAAAGTATTTCAAAATTCGCTTCAAAGCGTTGCCTTCAAAATTTTGGTAAAACTTTTGAAGACTGAATGATTTTGATAGATATTTCAATACAATTTGAAATTTGTAAAACATTGTGGATTTCTTAAGCCTATTGACATTTAGAAGTGTACAGTGGAAAGCAATATTCTTATTCATGGGCATGGGTAATTACAGACAGAGCAAATGGCGTATGAAAGGCCGAGTTGATGCCACAAGCAGGTCATTTGCAGCACTGCCTGTACGTATTGCTGTTTGGAGGTTATTTTTTCAAAACCTTCAAATATTTTAATTCAAAAGCATAATAAATATCTTGAAAACGATTAATTTTGACAAATTTTATGCTATTTTGTAAGGCATTTGATTAAATTAAAATATATTTCGTCGGCGATGACAACGCGAAATTGAAGCTAGCAGTGGACTCGCAGTCGCAGTCTCTGCAGCAGCAACTCATTTTGACAAAACACAAAGTCGGCTTTTCAGAAACAATGAAAATTATGATCTTTACACTCACCCTTTAGAATCGGCCATATTGGTTGTTAACACTTTATGCTTAATTCACTAAATATGTCGATAACTTTAAATATTATTTATACCAAAATCACTTAAACGCGGAGGAAAACTTTTCACTTTGCAACGAAGGCGGCAGACAGCGAACGCAAACGATTCTTTTTCCTGAGTGTGTCGAAGGTTCGTTGACGGGAGTCGACGTTCAGGCAGCGCAGCTGCGGTTGGCAGAAAATTGCAGAGTTCTTCTTTTGAGCAGCAGGATTGTAAAAGTGAAACGACGTACTTCTCCGAAATTTTTCTTTTTATCTGGTATTAAAATCATATTTCCAAGCTCATTACTTAACGCTGTAAATATGTGCATGGAATCAAAAGTCAGGTCAGTTAGGGAACGATATTCAGTACCATTATTTTGAAATATTAAAGTTATCTTAATTATTCACATACTGCTATCTTAATACAACCCTGATACGAATGTTCGCTGACTCATGAACAGTGCTGCCCATTCATAAAGACACGTCAGATTAAGAAATTTGCATTAGTTTGCACTTTTCCTCTGTGTGGCCTTGAGCCCAAATAAAAGGGTAACGAATTCCTTAACTATGACACTTAATAAATGAATATCTTCCAATTATTTGCAAGAGATTAATTGGGCATAATTGTGTTCAATATTAAACTCTCACACTGGTTGCAGAGCCATCTAGTGCAAAATTTTTGGTTTAAATACGTGCTAAATTATACATAAAAGTAGTGCTGCCTTTAGAACTCCAGTTAGGCTAAATCCGTAAAAATATTTATTTTATAATTGCAAGGTATTCTGTATGCACTTACTTTAGGTTAGGAATCTTTATTAAAATCAGGGCGTCCTCATGAACTCGTGGTTTTTTTGGCAGCACTGAAAATTCATGCGCTCTTTCAGAAGGCAAATAGAAGAGTTTTGGATCATTTTATCTATGGTCTAAGCAGGGATAATGGGATACCTAACTCTTTCCAGTGTGAGAGCATCTCAAAATTAGCGTTTTTTATAACATTTTCCAATGTAGCCAGATCGGACAAAATAATAATTTTTGGGAATTAAAATTATTTATTTATTTATTTATTTACACATCATTTATTAAGATTAAATATTATTATACATGTATCCGTTAAACATATGCAGAAACTCTTTTTTTGTGATTTTGTGATATATTAAACAATTGATTTTTGAACATTCAATACGTAATCAAAAGAATAAATGTATTAGCCATGGTTGTGGACCAATAACATCTGAGTAACGGATATTGTATTATATTATCAATCAATTTTTATTCAATTTAATTAAGAAATTCTATTAACGGTAATATATTATATTAGCCTTTTAATTACTACATAACCTTGATTTCCGTTTTTATTTGTTCCATCAGTGATACCCGATTAATTTCCTTGCGAAAATCAAAATACCGCTTAATTTAACGATACATCGATTGCCTTTATGCTGAGTTTTCGCTGATAGGCACACTACTCATTAGAACTGATTTTCGAAAATTAGCCAACGAATCACAGGCACAGTATATCCTTACGTGGTGTCCAAAGGTTCTCGTATCACTTGAAATATTGTCGTTCCCTCAATATGTACGCATCACCAAATTTGCGCTTAAACTCGTCGCCCAAAACGATTTGGATCATTTTTGATTCTTTCTAATCGAAAATTAAGCGTTGACCGCTGCGATGTAAGTCTTCAAAGGTAACAACTTCCGACGTCAGCGGAGAACTGATGAACAGCCTATTGAGAAATGTGGAATACGACGTCCACTAATGTTAAGGGCGATTACAGTGTTATGGGGAACGATTATCCTAATAAGCCACGCAAAGTTTTGTCATTTATTAGCAAATTCTGAAATCGGCGACCGGTTTCGCGAAACATTTATTCCTCAAGCGCATTTGTCACTTTTTTAAAGAAAAAAAACAGAAAAATTTAAGTGGGAATGTTTAAATAATAAGAATAATTTCAAAAAATATTCTTTGGCATTTATGTTTTGAAGATTATCTCTTTGAAATGTTGGCCGCAGCTACGTCCCAGATGGCCCGTTAAGTCTAATTTTCGATGATTTCTTCGAGCATTTCGACTACTAACTGGCGAATGACACGCGTGATGTTTTGCTTCAAGGCCTGAATCGAAGCGGGATTGTCCGCATAGACTTTAGACTTTACATATCCCCACAGAATATCTAACGGTGTTATAACACGATCTTGGTGGCCAATCGAGCGACCCAAAACGTGAAATTAACTGCTCTAAATAAATCTATAATAATGAATGCTGGCTCTTCAGATTTGTTATGGTGTGACGAATAGTACGCTCAGTAGGCCGATTATATTGACTATAAGTTGATGCCAAACAATACTGAACAAAAATAACATGACAGCTTGACACGGCGCACGCGTGACCTGTCAAAAAAGGGCTATTGAAAAAAGTACCTCTACTTAGATCACCCATTATATGAACAATAAGAAAAAATACTCGCTAATTCATATACAATTATGCATTCACCTATGATTCACTTGCCGCTCTACTTTTACTTCCTCTTTGACCTTTTGAATTGAATTAAAAACCAAAACAAATCAACAAATCATCGCTGAAACATATATGTTAATACCCATAATGATCATCTGACGCATCACATCGCGACTAGCAGAAAGAAGGTCACGAGCGGCGTCATTGAGATTGCATCTGATTTATAATCTCATAATCGAGCAACAAATGAGACGATATAAAAACTGAAACACTAAAACTTTGTATATAAACGCAGGTATTTATGTAGATGGACAACGAAATATGCAAATTTCCAACACTCCACAATTTCGAGTTCGTATTTGATTACGAACAACATATTTTATGTTGAGTAATTTTAGTTTTAGTGGGTGACAGCGCACACCGTTGAAACCTAAAATTATGAAGTGTGTAATAAACACCCATATGCAAATGTACTGGGGAAGCTTGCGAAACCTAAAATTAGCCAAATAGTTTCGATAACAGATTAATTGTGTTGCCCTCGGGTTTTAATGTGAGAGAGTTGTTTTTAAACACTCAAAAAAAAAAAAAAAAAAAAAAAAAAGCAACGACCACTGACACTTTACATGGCCATTTGAAAAGATTTTTGTTGCGGTGTTAAATATATTTATTTAGTCTAATTTGTCACGCTTTTGCTGACTAATTTCTAAAGCAACATGTTGTCTGGCTTAATTAAGTATTTTTTGGTGTTTTATACTATCGCAACATTTTGCACAGAGAATAAGATAGAAACAGATGCATATGTAGTTTAAACATTTTCAAAAGGTTAGATCCGTTCGTCCCCTAATAGGATGACCTATGTGACGCAACGACCATGTATAACATGAATGGTTAATTGAGATTTGGCTGATTAAAAATTATATTTATCTCAAGTGTTTTCATTGTTGTTGTTGCTGCTGTTGCATCTCGCACTCGAAAGTTAATTAGAAGTTATGCAATTCGGTTGACCGCAGCACGATCTGTAGCCAAATACTTTCAAATCCAATTGCCGCCTCTCTTATGTGAGTAGGTTATGTTATGTGTGCGCTCGTCGGAGAGATGTTGCGGAAACAACGAGATACGAATGCGAATACAATGCACAGGCAAGACTTACAAACTCATTTAGCACATGCATGGACCACATGTGGCTATGTTCGTACATGTGTTTATTATTTATGTTGATGAGATTGGCAAATCGTCACGTGAGTAGTGGAGGATGACCAGCATGGTCACTCTCAGTAAAAGTTGACGAACCTTCTATGCCTCGCACATTTATACTCCTATTATAGGAATACTTCGAACAATGAATGAAAGCTATGCAGCTATGGAACTCTTAACCCAGTCTTAACAGCACCAATAACATACATACATTTAAGACATAAGAGCACATATGTGTCTCCCACATTGTAAGGAATAATCTAATACTCATCCATACTTAATATTATAAATGTGAATGTAAGTACGTTTGTTACGCTTTTACGCTGAATTCACTTAACCGATCACTATACTATAGGACATTGTATAATTACTATTAAAAAATATATACATTTTTTTACGGATTGTGGAAAAATTAGTGTGGATGATCATATCCGTTTGTAAAATAAATTTGAAAATTGAAAATTATTATTTAGGCAGATATGATTGTTCGAAAAATTTCAAAATGTAAGAAAACAAAAATGCATCAAAAGCATAAATCAGAGAATTACCACCACCACCATCTAGCTGATAAGCGCGGTATAGTATTCGTGTACATACTATGCATTTCGTTTTTTGGTTAATAATCTTTGATATTTTTTTAAGGGGTTCAATGCGAGCGGAGCCGCGGGAAGAGCTAGCATAAAAATATTTGTGAATTAATTTTTTTTTACATCTTTTATCCACCAGTCGTGCACCTTTGGCGATTAGAATGACTAAGTGAGTGGCAGAAGAGGGGGCACGTGCATCGGGATTCACCGCAACAGCAATAAACTGATTAATATCTCAAGCAATTTGTTGCAAAGAGTTGGCTAACACGCGTTTTCAATTGGCATTTACTAGCTTCAAAAGAATCAGCCATTCACCTGCCAAGCCATTAACGCCAACAACAAATACAGCGATTGCAAAATTCCGTTCTACACACAAAAATCATAAGATCTGCAGCATCATCCGCGGCGAAACAAAGCCGCAGTCGTTAAAGTGGGCGCCAGTTGTGTAATCGACGACGCTTGAGCGGGTCACACGCTAATGCTGGCCACATTTCGTGCGCCGATATTCCGGTTCATCCGCTAATAGCCGACTTGCGTCGGATCGAATCGAAGTGCCTGCACTCTACGATTGTAACTGTAGCTTCCTTTCGCTTTGCCAGATGGACAGACGCCGGCATGGCCTTGAGAGAGTCATTTGCTTTAAACGGCGACTCACTCTTAACTGTTGGAGCAGTCAAGTGAACTGCTTTAAGTTTACACTTCTGCTTCGCGTTTCAGTCGCTCCCAGTTGCGGATTGTGCAGAGCGTAGGAACTTGTGGCTAAGCGCTTTACAAAATTGTTTCATTGGTGGTCGTGATTGCTGACAATGCAACACCATTGGCGAGTCAACAGTTGCGTTGTGTGCCGTTATGCTCTTGTTGTTTGTAGACTAGAGCAAATTATAAGCGAATTTGATTGACAAGCGTATACTTTTGATTTGGTTAAGCTCCGCAGGTCATGGACTCACTTTAAATATGTAGCCATTGTAATTCATGGTTTCTGAGACCGACTTTTGCTTGTAGAAAGCAATAAGAGTCCCACAGGAAGCCAATGTAGTCCGAAATGCCGGATTAATAAAGACCGGCAACGCGATATCTCTACATAGAGCTGCAAAACAATCGATGGGACTATCGATAGTATCGATAGTTTTTTTCTCGTCTTACTATAGATAGTTTATTTTGATAATCGATGGTTTTTATGCCTTGACTAGACTTAGACATCTTCAAAAAATTGCAAAATGTCACTTAATATAGCTACATAATGATATAGTCTGGTAATATCAAATATTAAGTTCAATTTAATAACATGGTAGCCTTAAAATAATAATTTCTTTCATCCCAACCTTGGTTGCGCGCACGTGTTTTCGAAATATATTATGCACATTAATTGCATGGGTAAAATGATCCGAACTCTTTGATTCGAGAGAGCGCTGTCAAAGTCCACATTTTTTATAATATAACATTTGACAGTGGTGCCATTAAGGAAAGAAATAAGTTTTGAGTATTTTTCGATTTTAATTTTACAGAAAAATATACATAATTATAATTAGTTTAACAAGCTAGATATCCTATATGACTTCTAAATATAAGTCCATGTATATTTTAATCACAAAAGATTTTCAAAATTAACGTTTGAAACTAAAATTAACAAAATATTTTAACATTTCAATACACGCAAGTTTTAAATAACCTAAACATGATCCTTATTTCTTTTTTATATACTCAATAAACAACTATCGTTTTGCTGGGAATTCTAGCCAAACTAAGTATATACGTTGACAATTGGTACTGCTAAGCAAAACAATACTCTGCGACAAAATACCGCTCTTTCTTAAAAACAAAAGTATATTAAATCTCTTTAATTAAAAATTAGATATATACGTAAAAGTCACCAAAAAATCTGATCTCACAAATTGCCCACTGATTTCGCAATTTATTTCTGCGGGATTCTTAGTGGTAGTTCATTGTTTTGCTTGTCATCTGTTCAGTAGCTCATGAACTCGTGGTTTTTCTGCCACTAAAAGTTCATGAGCTCTCTCAGAAGGCAAGGAGAGGAGTTTCGGAGCATTTTATCTATGATTAATTGGGTGTAAAATCATCTTTTCATCCTTGGCTTGGCGTAATTAAATAATATTTTTTTAAATAAGATAAAAATTAATAAATAAAAGAAGATTTTCGTTCTTCTTCAATCGTTTATGTTGCAGCAAAAGCGGCAGAAGATGAAATAGCTGGTATGAATAAAACCCAACCAGTACCTTATTGTACGGAACAGCCTTCAACGTCATCCAAAACGCAATTCAATCTCTTTTGAGTTTCCTCTATAAAAAATTGAGGAGAAGATTAAATCAACAGAGTGGATGCAATAATAATAAAAAATCTCAAGCGGCCAAAGACTTCCCCATATTGTTCACCTTTGGACTATTGAAAGGTAATTACTTTTAAAGGTCTCTTAAAAACGTAAATATCCTTATATATAGAAACATATTTATGCTTATGTAATGTATAGTTTTAGCACCGAATGCCTCTTATAATTTTTTTTTATTTATTTCCATTATAGATCAACGAAAATGATTCGATGTCTCTCAATATCTGTGTCAGTGTCACATTTGTGTTTCAGCTACTTCTACAGAGTCAGAGAGAGTGTTTAGCCATGCTGAATTGCTAATATCAGATAGGAGAGCAACACTAAACGCTAAAAACGTCAAAAAATTACTATTTATATACCAAAATTAAATAAGTGGATTATTGAGAAATAAAGTGCTCTATGGAACCGGTTTTTAAGTATACATTTATTGATCTCATTTTACATAAATGTATAAAAAATGTATATTTTTCTAGCTGGTCAGCTCTCAGAACATTTTTTGTAATAACATGAATAAATTTTATGTGTAACTTTATTAACTTTTCCGTGTTTTGCTATTGTTTAATAAATTAATCTGATGATTATTTCATAAGAATTAAGTGTACAAAGCCATAGTCTTTTAATTTAAATGAAAAATTACATTTCAAGGGGAAATATGTCGATAGTAGCGCTAGTATTTTTTTAAAATAACGAAACTATCGATAGTTTTGCAGCTCCCCCTCTACAATTTGTTATTACTTTGTTACACGTCCTAACACAATGAAGTTATTAATTTTTGGAAAATGCGACAAAATTGAAATCTTCACTTAATTCAAGTAATTACGGTGACATAAACTGCCAACAGTAAATCACTGGAGTGTGTAATGCAACGAAGCGAAGCTGTCACCGCCAGCACTTTCAGACCAAAAACGCTTCCCTAAATTGTGGCTTGTTACAACGCACACCCATACACACATACATACAAACATATAACCACATGTGGAGGGGTGAACGTAGGCGCTGCCACTTTTGCTGTAGATGACAATGTCTAATTTGTCAATTTATTTCCTTCCTCATTGTTTGCAGAGCAAGAGGCACAAATCTAAAGAAGCAGAAAGCAAAAAAAGAAACAACAGCTATGACTACGTCGCATAACGGCGTCGGCACGCACAAGTACTTGAGCAAGATTTCATGCCCGTTTAACTGCGCAACTGTAACAACATACACTAAAACTAAATGTATAATGCATCAGCAATGCACGAGGTGGTGGGCCCACCAATGCCAACTGAAACGCCGTTCCAAGCTTCAACTGCATTGTCATGTCTAGGAAGCCGCGTTTTCAGATCCAAGAGGAAATAAGTCTAATTTCACCTCGCTCGCACACCTTCCGCTAACGAAATGCAGTCAAGAGCCAAATATACGCCGCCTGCTAACAAACACACAAAAGTGCAGATCAACAATAACAACACTTGATCGAGTAATGAATGAAAATAAATAAATGTGTATGTTACTTGCCCCCTTCCCACACACCGGCACGTACATATGTATTTACCAATTCGAACCAATAATTACAGGGCTTGCTGTGGCGAGTGCCGGCGGTCATAAGGCAACACAAATACTGGGTCACAAATGTGGCAACAACAAAAAGCAAATTGTTTGCAATTGCTGCCAGTGCCCACAGCTGTGGCAGTCGCACACTCACGGAAAGTGAAAAACCCCTAACAACAACAACGATATCAGGTAACAGTCAACATTAGAAGCATTAATCAAAAGCGATACAACTGAGTTCCAGCGCAAAGGGTCCCTCCACCCGAATGCATAACTACTTACTTACATACGCACACACACTGGCGGTTCCGTGGGAGATATATAAGTTGGGAGTAGGTTAGGTTTAGCGGATTAAAGTTCCGCGCTCCAGCTTTCGACGCTCCCCCCTACTACAACAGTTCACACACACACACACATATGCACACACAGCCGGAGAAGGCGTTAGCACAATGCCGAGTCTTGATGGACCATGGCAACAATAACAACAGCAGCGGCACAGCTGGAGCCCGTTTGAGCTTCGAAACGTATGTGAGCGCAGATGCGCAGGTTGTTGTAATGTTATAATGGTGCTGTTAATTAGACACATTAATCGCGGGCTAAAAGACTTGCAACAGAGGAAGGAGTCTGCTCGGACAACCGCCAGCAGGGAGTCTTCATTGGCCCTACACAGTTTAGGTAACAGTAAACTTATGTACAACAACAATAGGTACAACACACTTTTTACTCGGAGCGGTATTAAATGAAAACAAAAGCGCATAAATATTTTCACACATTTATTTTCATGCATAATAACTGCTCGCACACCTAAATGTGCGAGTGTGTGTGTGGTTGTGGCCCATAAATGTGTGAATATGCAAATTTTATCGTGCATTTAATTTGCATTCGCGTCCACATATATACAGCTGTACATTAGGGTGATATTACCGTTCTGTTCGACATTTTCTTTATGAAACCGTTTTTTTATTTTATTTTATATTATTTACAAATTGAAACCTATACATATGTATAAAGCCTTTTTTCATTCTCCAACTGATGATGTAAGAGATTACTGATTTTTGATATTCACTTGATCGAAGTGCTTGTGATCAGTCGAAATCATAGTTCTTTGCACAGAATTTCTTGAAGTACGCGAGCCTTGTTCATTCCTTAATATAATTATTTATTTAATAAAATTACTAGAGTTGGCGGTGTGACTAAATAGGCTTTGATAATTCCGCAATTGTTGATTTGTTTTTCAAATAAGTTCCGTAGACCGGTGAGTAACGACATCTATCACAAAAGAAACGCACACAATTTTCAAACTAATAAAAAAGGATATTTAAAAAAAAATTTGTTTGAATGAAGTTATGCTTAATTCAACTCTTCGTTAAAATGTTTTGTTAATGTTTTTCAAGTGATAAAATATATGATAACCTTTACGTATTGCCTTTCTGTTCGCTTTCGACTCAAAATAATGCGAATTTTGAGTGCGAGGAAGGGATTATTTGGTCCGTTCCGCTTATTTTGAAGACCTTTCTAAACTCGCTCATCTCTGTCAATTGTGAGTATGTTTAGCGGAATTTCACGTCTCGCGTTCTCATAAATTCATGTGTCTTTACGTTTTGTATTTTCACAAGCTCATTGAAAAGATAAAGAATGTGGTCCTCGAGGTATAATCGAATAAGCCTCTAGAAATCAAAAGTAACTGTCAACCTTAAGTGTAAGGTGTAAGAGGTTATTTTTGAATGCCTTTCGCTTTGATACATTTTCGGGAATGGCTTTTAGTACAAACACTTAATTGCGGATTTATTTGAAAGGTTTCACGATGTAGTCAAAGGATTTAAAAAAACAAAAGATTGTTTCACTTACACAATCTCCTTAAACTGCGACCAATATCAACTCGCCTGTAATGGAAATGGAGCAATTTGCTTTTACTAAATTTATAATTTTATGGAACAATTATTGTCCATAAGGCTTGAGTGGGAAATTGTACTTTCATTTTTAAACAACAACAACGCGAAGTGCAAATGATCAGCACTAATATAAAAGTGTAACCGAAGAAAAACAACCACCCCCCGCTTAGTTGACTATATTAACAACAATTACACAACAACAAGAACACCAAATTGTCATAATTATACATAAGCACAGGCGCCCGCTGCCGCCGACTCTCTCGACACCCAAATTTAGCTATCAATTAGCCATTGCCACACAGTTGTTGTTGTTTGGATTGTTGTGGTTTGGGTTGTAGTACCGATGCTGTTGCTGATGACTGGGCAATAAGTACGCAAGTGAGCAAGTTGCTGCAACAAGAAAGTGACTTTCGATTTCATAAACAACAATAACAATACTATTTACGAAATATTAAATACCAACAACGAAAGATTGTGGTTAATGCCACATTATCTGGCAATGTTTTTGGATGTGAAGGTTAAATTTGTTGTACAAAAAAGAAACAACAATGCCAACGACCGTAATTGTGTTAAAATGAGATCTAGATACGGCACTTCGTCTGATGTATTTGCTACAATAACAATAACAATTAAGCTGACATGGGTCACATCGCTAAGAATCACTTTGCGCTTGTTTACAATTACGCAAAATACTCGCAGAAGACGCTCGTACGCGTATTCACTACAAGTGTTTTAAGCAAGGGGGGCTAAGTTCGGGTGCAGTAGAGCTCTAGCGTGTGAACCAGCGGCGTGTTAGCGCTTTAAGTGCTGTTGTTGTTAAATTCTCTTTCATTGACATTACTCACTGCGAAAAGAGCGCAGAACTAATGTCGATTAATAAACGCTTGGCGGGGTTTAACGAGCGTAAATAATTAGACAACTCAAATCCGAAGGCCTCAATTAAGGGCAAGCTATACAATGGCGATTTATGTTGCCAAACAGTAAAGGCGGAAAACAATGAGTTCAAGTTGGCGGCGTCCCACACCAAGTCTAGAAGTAGCAAGCTCAAGCATGACTTAAACTCTGTTTCCTCAGCAATTCGTTCAGACTTTAGAAATCGTTAAAAATATTATCGCTTTTTGTTGATATCATTTTTAACGCTTATTTAGGTGAATTATAGCTGCGGGTTGTAAATGGTAGTTGTTGTTGTTTCTGCTGGACGTCATCAATTCCAAAAGGTTACAGTTCCACAATTTTATAACTTAAAAATAAAAACAAACAAACACCAAAAAGTTACGAGACAATTGAAAGCAAAGGAAGACAAAAGGCAAAGATTGAAGCTAAAAATAATTAAATTATAATTGAGAGCGGCGCTTAATTGGCGTAGCGTGCAGTTTAAGGCATTTAAAGTGCACATTATAAACACACTAATTTAATATGCTAATATTGAAAAAGGTGAACTGTTTTGGCATTGAAATTAATGAGTGATCGCGTCGTACGAACGCTACAGCAACAATCCAAATAAGCGATTAGAAACACGGCATTTTCAAATTTTCGAACTGTTTAATTTTGTAATTTTGTAATTGTTGGCGTCAGCATATTTCAGTTTGGTTTTTACAAGCGTTGAAAATATTTGTTAAGGCAATTAACTATTATTAACTAACACATACAATCGTCTGAGTAAATATGCTTGAAAGCAAAAGATAATAATGATGGAATAATTAATATTCGAACACAAGAGGCAACACGCCAACTGGACACAGACACTCGACCCTAGTGCATCCCTATGGCAAAAGGTCGGTAAATGAGTAGTTTAAGATTAATTGCAAAAGTGGGCCTAAAATTGGTACTTAAATATTAAAAATATAGAAAGCGGCTAGTAGACAGGTGAATATGTAGGTTGCCGCAACTGGCAAGTGGGGATTATCATACACTCTCGTAATGATGGATTTCCCACAGGCGATTTGAGCAACTTTGGTCACTCAAAACTATATCCCCATGTTGAATAGCATTAGCACTCATAGCATTAGACGAACTACTCAAGAGTTCGCAAGAGTTTTCGAAGATGATAAAACCGTTTACCTTCTCTTTCGCCATACCCTTCGTCCGCTTCATAAAATAGGTGGCTCAATGCCAACACATATATAACGC